GTCTCTCATGTGTGGCAAGACATCGCCCACCAACGCCGGCGCCAAGTGAGGAAGCTGCCCTGGACCTTCCCCCTGAGAGCGAACCACCGCGTTAACAGAACACTCCACCAGGCTGCAGCCGTAGGAAATATCTGTAATTGTTTGACTCTCGTAATTGTTTGACTCCCTTAATTGTTTGACTCCATTAATTGTTTGACTCCATTAATTGTTTGACTCCCATAATTGTTTATTTGCTATTTGTGTGAGTGGTGTATTGTATTATTATTAATATTTTCTTTTATTATAATTGTTATTTATTGATATTTATTATTATTATTATTATTATTATTATTATGATGATTATTATTATTATTATTATCATTATCATTAGCATCATAATTATTATTATTATTATTTTATTATGTGTTCGCCCTAGGCCTTGATGTTGGTCAGTAAAAGTGAGCTGTGCCTGGGTGGGCATCGATGGTGGAGGTGTGGCTGAACCAGGAGGAAGCTCAAAAAGAACCTGAGTCTTACGTACATTTACCTCAAAGCCGAAGTGTGCATACGCATCTGCGTAGGTGTTCAGGATCTCCTGTAGGTCGTGTTCAGTGTGAGCGACAAGGGTGAGGTCGTCTGCATACTAAAGCTCAGTAATGGAAACTGCCGACACCTTTGTTCCGGCCTGGAGTCGTCATATGTTGAAAAGACCCTTCATCCCGTACTCGATGTCCACCCCGCCAGCTAAGTTGGCACTGGCACGAGTAAAGAAGGCAGCCAAGAAAATGGAAAAGAGAGTTGGTGCCAGTACACATCCATGTTTAACCCCCGTTTGGATGAGGAAGGACTTCGACTGGACGCCATTTTGTAGGACTGCCGTTCATGTCATCGTGGAGTTGTCTCACAATGGTGATGAATTTTGATGGTTCAGCCAAAACGGCTGAGGGTCCACCAGAGGGCTTCCCTGTTGACTGAGTCGAAGGACTTGGTTAGGTCAATGAAAGCCATGTACGGGTCACGACGCTGTTCTCTGCACTTTTCCTGTATCTGACCGGCAGCAAAAATCATGTCAATGGTGCCACGCGATGGTCTAAAACCTCAGGAAGAAGTCTGTTTAGGAGAACTCAGGCGATAATCTTGCCAGCTACGACAGCAGCGAGATCCCCCAGCTTGGGGGATTTCCTCCTTTTCCCATATATTCTCCAGGAGAGAGTGGAGACGGCTAGTAAGCAGAGGTCCTTTTGTTTTATACACCTTGGTTGGAATTTCATCAGGCCCTGTGGCTTTGTTATTTTTCATCTGTTTGATGGCAGTAGCCACCTCATCCAGAGATGGAGGATAGCTGAGGTGGGTCAGCACTGGATGCCGAGGGACCTAATGGGTAGTCGGGACATCCACATCGGTGTTTCGGTTGAGCAATGAATGGTAGTGCCCTTTTCCAGCACTGAAGGAAGCCTTCATCGTCTTTAATTATGGAGTTACTGTCGGATGAGCGGAATGGGGCTGAGCCATCCAGTGATTGGCCCATAAAATGTTTTAGTGGAATTGAAAAATTCACGCATCTTGTGCTGATCTGCAAATTATTATGTTACACATGCTTTATTTTTAAACCACTAGTTTTTTAGATTGTGAAGTTCCGTTGGGTCACTGCTTTTTTCTTGCAGAGGTATCAGCTTTGGTTCGAGACTAAGGGTTGTTCTGCCAGTCAGTTAAAGCAGCACACTTATCATCGACGAGTGCATTGATTGCCGGGTCATTTTCGTCAAACCAGTCCTGGTGTATTGTTTCGATCTGGCCGAGGGCCTCTGCAAGTTTTTGTCATGACGGTGTCGAGAATATCCCATTCACACTGGGGTTTGGGATGTTTGTTGTCGGGTTGTTTATCAGCCCATGCCTCGAGCTGCTCTCTGAAAGCATGTCCTACCGCTGGATCCTACAGACGCTTAGCGTTAAAACCGCTTCTGGAGGCTTGCTGCCTTAGCCATTTTGGGGCAACGAGGAGTGAGAGCTTGGCTCTGATGAACCGATGATCAGTGTCGCGGTGGTCTCAGCCACGCATGGTATAGGTGATGGGGACATTTCGGCGACCTCTTTCTCTGAAAATGATGTAGTCGATGAGATGCCAGTTTTTGGATCGTGGGTGTAGCCACGAACCCTTGAACTTGTCGGCCTGCCTAAACAAGGTGTTGGTGATAGTGAGGTTGTGTGTAGCACACTTGCTGAGGAGGATTAGGCCATTGGGATTACACTTGCCTATTCCATTTCTCTCTATGGTTCCCTTCCAAATACTGTATTATTATCTCTGCCAACTCTGGTATTGAAGTCACCATGGAGCACAACCTTACCTTCTCTGGGGACAGAGGTTAGCACTCTATCGAGGTCTACGTAAAAGGCCTCTTTGATGTCATTCTCTGCATCCAGTGTTGGTGTTGGGGCATATGCAGTGATGAAAAGGCATGACGTGAGTGATTTAGTGGGAATCGGAACGTCACGAGGCGTTCGTTGATCCCAATAGGCATTTCAGTTAGCCTGTGTAGGATACGTTTGAGGGTGGTAAAGTCAACTCCATAAATGCGGTTTCTCTCTGCAGCAGGCTTACCCTTCTAGAAGAAGGTATAGCCATACCCCTGTTCTGTGAGTTGATCCTCATCTGGGAGTCGGGACTTACTAATTGGCCAGCTCTTTTGCCACAAGGGCGGTTCTTCTTTCAAGACACTCATTTGTGCCAGTATCCAGGAGGGTCCCGACATTCCTTGCAGCGACCATAAGAGGTTGTATAGTTTGTTTTTGTTTGGATCTGTGATTTTGATTGTGTTTTCGACCGCATAAGGATGACCTTACTGGGTGCGGTTGCCCAGTCAGGTTGACTTTTTAGGCAGGCTATGTTTGGGGCACCTTTTCTAGCCCCCTCCCATTGTGGGGTGAGCAGAGTGGCTCCTTGAAAAGGTTGCTCAGTCGCACAGACAGGGCCGGATTGCACTGCTTCTTCAACCCTAGTGCACAAACGACTATCTTATCTTTGCCGCCCATGTGCAGAGTTGTGACTAAAGACTCCCGGCAGTCATCTCTCTCTGTCCCCGTCGCCACTCGTCCGTCCCCATAGGACCTTTGAGGGTATAGGGGTTATGTTGATGATGAGCTGGATGATAGCTGCATGTGAGTTGATATATGTGGTGAGGCAGGATCGCAGGCTGCAACCACGCATCTTGGCTCTCCCTTTTCCTGATCTAGTGGTGCAAGTGTTGCAACGACTGGGGAGAAGGAGAGTTGCAATGGACTGCAATAGCCCAGTTTGTTGGGTTTCACCTTACTGTAGTAGCCATTGCCTTCGTCCGCCAGTGTAGTCGTTGGGTTCCCATGATGGTGAGTCACCTCTTCCTCCTATACCGCTGTTGGGGTCTTGTTGGGGTCTTGTTGGAGCTCTGTAAGCATGTCTACCTGATGCGGGACTGCACTGCAGATTTTTTATTTGGGGTTTACTCCCGTAACCTTCTACCGACCAAGGTTAATCGCCAGGCAGCGGGGCGATGGTTGGTAGGCGCCAGGATGTGTCCACATGCCAGTGGGCCTATGTGCTGCCCCTCTGGGTCCTACTGCTACTCCGAAATGCCCTGCTGGTTTAGCCTGGGTCCACGAGGCACCCAGTTGCCGTGTGTTGCCACGAGGATGCACAGCAGGAGTCTTGATGGTGAAAGGCTGTGTACTGGCAGGGGAAGACATATGGAAGTTGCTTCCATGTTCGCCACGAGGGCTAGCCAGCGGTGGTAGCTGAAAGCGAGAGGGAGCAAGCAGTGCTTGCACCGTAACACTAACATAATGCTGCCACACTAGACGCATTTTACCACCCTGTGTGCGAAAACACACACACACACACACACACACACACACACACACACACACTTATCCAGCCAAAATTGCAGTCTGTGAGGCAGACTTGTATCCGCGCTGCTTTAGGTATAAACCGAGAATAATTATAAGGATGAAATTGGTAACCACCGCGAACATTACTAAGGATGTTCAAAACGAATTCCTTGCTCTCAAGAGCGATTCTGCTGCCAAAGACCTGTATGATGAAAATCTCTGTCTATATTCTGGTGCTCAATGTATCAGCCGTATCCAAAAGTAAGCGAGATTGCACTTCTAGTCCTCTTGCCATGTGGGATGGTTATCACCTGTAATAAATTTTAAAGGGTACCCAGCACTGACCACTAAGGCAGGCGCCAATTGTAATGGATGCATAATAGGTGTGGGGTGTTGCAGAAATCACAACTTACAAAATGTAGAGTTTGTGCATACACTGTGGTAGGTTTTGTGGGTGTACTTTGTAGGGGGTGAGTCCTGTGAAGTCGACAATAGAATCTTCGGTGGTTTGTTTGGATATCACATAGGCTGTGGGTACCCCTTGTAAGACCCGTATGAAGAGTTAATGTGGACTGATCAGGTAGTAACCTGGCGAGCAGAACAGGTGTGGTCGACCGACTCACTTCAGCAAATGGACTATAGAGTACAGTGGCCACAGTATACATGCTCTACTCGAGGATGTTGACTGATAACAAAATAACTGTATATATTACTGAAAATTTATATGCAGAGACTGTGAATGTGAAAGAACACTGCCTAGACTAGATCCCCATTTTGTTTTCTCCTAAACTCCTCACAAATAATGGCGAAAAATAAATTGTTGACAATCATCATTATCATATATCTTGACAAACTTTCACAATTTACATAACTGACTTGTCACTAGACTCGAGTGACTAGAAGAGCCCCACAACAAAGTTGAATTTGGTTGGGAAAAAGTTCCTCTGACCTATGCATATTTTGTCACAGGTCAATGGGAAGGCTGACATTGTTTCCTTTCAGACAGGTGATTGATTCGAGGTTGCGTCGCTGACAAAGCACATCTCATGTCTCGGTCCACATCCAATCGCATTAATAGGTAGTAGACAATGGTAAAAGGACTCGAAGTGCGACTTCGCTAACTTTTGGATACAACTGATATATTGAGACCCAGAATACACTCAGCAATTTTCTTGATAGAGGTCTTTGGCAGCAAAATCGTTCTTGAGATCAAGAAATTTGTCTTGAACATAATTGGGAATGGTAGCAATATCAAGAGTGCCAGAGAAAGGATTTCTTAACAATTTTCCTTCTTCCTCCTCGAATTCTGGGGAGTACCTTTTGAACTCGTTTTCCAAAGATTTCAGGTGCTGAGTGATATCAGTTTTCAGTGATGGGTCAAGCAGATGATCTTTAATCCCACCAAGAACATTTGAAAGATTCTCAAACATGGTAACATTTCCTGCACTGAGTTTCCTTTACCAATTCTGGAGCTTGGCAAGAAATGCAACAAGATAATCTGTTACCGCCACAGTAAGATAAGCTAGAAGAGAGAGAAAGAGAGGGATAACCACAATAAGATAAACTAGGCGAGAGAGAGAGAGAGAGAGAGAGAGAGAGAGTGGATGAGATAAGAGATATAGTGTTGACAACGAATTTGCTGACCAATCTGCTGAGGTGTTTCAATACGAAAACATATGGCCCTCGCCTCCGGGCTGAGATTGCCCTCGAGGGTAGTCTACTGATTTCTACAGGACAGACAACACGTTGGTTCAGACCACTAGACCCTAAAACGTGAGTGATCGTGAAGTATTAGAATCTGCTAAGAAACTCTAAATAACTTTAATAAGTATATTTGTGTACTGCAATTTGATCATATTATACCAATTGTCTCCTGTATCAATAGTTATAACATGCGAGTTATATTTAAGATGTTAACAGGCTATGTACTGTATATTGATTGTATTTCATAATATGTGTCCTGAGATAACAGCATTTGTTATATGAGAAATGTTCTTTAACAGGTTTTGACCGAATTATATGGTACGCGTCAACGTTGAGGGTTTATTTCTCCAGCAACAAACCAATAACGCTCCTATGAGCGTTAACATAATCCATGAGGTGAAACACATTTCTTTCCTTGCCTTGGAGCTTGAGATTTAGCCTGTTTAGCTGCTCAAATATATCTGCTAGGCATGCAAGGCGTGGCTCCCACAGCACCTTATTGAAGTGACTTAAAAGATCATCCTTCCCATGCACTTCCAGGAATGACTTAAGCTCTCCCCGAAGTTCAAACACTCGATTCACAGCATTACCCCTGGAAAGCCAGCGCACTTTGGAGTAAAAGAGAAGGGTTACAAAGGTTCTGGAAAAGGCGAGAGTTCAGATCTCCTGCTATCACAAAGTTGACACATTTGATCACTGCCTCCAGGATCGTGCAAAGTCCTTCAGGGAAGGTTTTCGAGACCAGTGCAAAACGATGGATCATACATTGAGCCACTTTGTCATTCGGAGTTACTTCTTTGGCATGCTTCTAGAACCCCGATTTCGATCCCAGCATCGCCGAAGCCCATCCGTACAGACTCCGCAACAATTTTCCTAAGTGATCCCGCTAGCTGTGAAGAAAGAAGACAGCATGAACACAATTAATGACAGCAATAAATAGGAAAATAATGGAAATGTAAAAATAGTTCACACCTGTAAAGCAACGACCATATGAAACAAAATAGTCACACCAGTAATGGAATATATCGTGCTTAAGTCAAGCTCAAGCACTATATATGGTTCAGAGACAGTACACTCTTATGTTCTCCTGATGGTATCCCAAGCCAGACTGAGATCATTCGGTCCGATCACCACTTGCAAAGCAATGACACACAGACGGATCAGTCCAATGCCTGTCATATAGACAGGAACTGGACTCGTGAAATCTGAGTTAATCAGTTAAAAGTGAAAAACTAGCAACACAGAATGTAAATATTAAAATAGCATTGGCATTATGTTTAAACAAAATGACACAAAGATGCAAATTCTCTTCTGCCAAGTCAAAATAAGTAATAAAATTTTTAGTTATTTCAAATTCCCCACATTTTCTTGAAACATTTACAACTTATAATAACCCACCGTGGCCCCCTAAGCTATTGCCGTGGTTCCCTTGGGGGGGCCATGGCCCCCAGGGTGAGAATCACTGACTACTCTAGACTAACTAATTGAATACAAGATAATGATTTGCAAAACAATGGCTAAAATGTATGCATGTATGTATGCACAGTATGTATGCAACAACAACAACAACAATAATAATAATAATAATAATAATAATAATAATAATAATTAACGGTTTATTGAAAGAGCACGACAACCGGAAGGCTGAAAATATACAGTTGCATAATGGGGGAATGAGTCTCTTGAGTGACAAATAATATACAAGTAACATAAGTGATATAAATATGATATATAATAACTAGGTGGGGAGAAGGTCATACGACAGGGCATTTCAACATATTTTTATTTATTTATTTTTTTTTTTTTATTGGGCACTCCCCTACATCCTTGTGTAAGGTGAAGCGCAGAAGCGTTTACAGTGCCCAACAGGGAAGCATGCTAAGTTCATGCTTGCCTTTATGTCTCATGAGATAAAGGCGTAGAAGCCTGAAGAGTCACGGGCGTAGAGGCCTGAAGAGTCAGTGGTTAATGTCATCAAGTTATTGGAAGCTCCAACAACTCCCTGAATACGAATTCGCAACTTTCGACTTACAACAGGTACCTATTTTACTGCTAGGTGAACAGGGACTAATGGGGGCTAGGAAGTAAGTCCAAACAACTTCCACCGGCCCGGGAATAGAACCGGTGACATCTCGCTTGCGAGGCAAGAACGGTACCGCTTCTACCACCGGTCCCCCATTTCAACATAGTGACAGTGCCAAAAGGTAAGATTGACTGAGAGTGAATACACTGGTTGATTACAAGTTATTAATAATTTTTACAATGGTTGGGACTGGGCTGTTCTTATAGCGATCAGTACATGTTCGTATGGGCTGGATGCGGTTGTGGTGTCGAACAACAATTCTCGGACGAGGGATCCAGTGCCGAGGATGGTGCTGAAATTTCTCACCAAATTTGCAGATGAGTTCGTGGTGATGGTCAGAGAGAGCCGAGAGGGTCAGTGTGTTGAGCGCTTCTTGATATGTGGAGTAGAAAGGGGAGAGAATAATCTTGCATGACCTCTTTTGCACTTTATATAGGTGTTTACGTAGTGAGGCATTTAGGGAGGAAAACCAAGTAGGGGAGGCATAGGTGAGTTTGGGAGGTATGAATGTTGAGTAAACACTGAGGAGTTCAGGAGTAGGAACTCCGAGGGACCTGAGTCGGCGGAGGAGGTGGAGACGGGAACTGGAGGATTTGACAACTACACCGACGTGTGTTTTCCAATTTAGTTTGTTGTTTATGGTGACGTCGAGGAGCTTAGTGGAGTCTATAACCTGGAGTGTGTTGGAGCCTAAAGTAATGGAAGGGGGTAGAACAACGTCGGAGGAGAGATTGATGTGCATAACCATGGTCTTGGTATGGTTGATGGTGACGTGGTTGTTGGTGGCCCAATTTTGGAGACTGTTCAATTAATCCTGGAGGGCGGTATAGTCGGGAGCAGAGTTGTTGACACTGATCCCAATGGTGGAGTCGTCGACATATTTCCAGCGAGCAGGGGTTTCTCTTAGGGCATCATTGATATGCATAAGGAAGCAGAGTGTTCCCATCTTGGTGCCTTGGGGGACGCCACAGGTGTATGTATGTATGTATGTATATTAGACCATTACTTGGCACCACTGACATGATCTTTGCTACCCGCCAGATACAGAAAAAGTGCAGAGAACAGCGTCATTACCTGTACATGGCCTTCAACGGCTGAACCAAGACCTTTTATCGATAAACAGGGAAGCCCCCTGGCGGACCCTCAGCCGTATTGACATCCCACCAAAATTCATCGCCATTGTGAGGCAACTCCACAATGGCATGAACTGCAGTGTCCTGCACAATGGCACCCAGTCTGAGTTCTTCCCCACCCAAACGGGGGTAAAACAAGGATGGGTACTGGCACCAACTCTCTCTTCCATTTTCTTGGCTGCGTTCCTTACTCATGCCAGTGGCAACTTAGCCGGCGGGGTGGACTTCGAGTACCGGATGAAGGGTTTTTCAATATAAGATGACTCCAGGCAGGAGCAGAGGTGTTGGCAGGTTCCATTACTGAGTTTCAGTATGCAGACGACCTCACCCTTGTCGCTCACACTGAATGCAACATACAGGAGATCCTGAACACCTACGCATCTACGTGTGCACACTTCGGCTTTGAGGTGCATGTACTTAAGACTCAGATTCTCTTTCAGCTTGCCCTTGGTTCAGCCACACTTCCTCCCTCTCTAATGTTACCCACTTTCGGTATCTCGGCTCCCACCTGTCCACCACTGCAGACATAGAAGAAGAGATTCAGCATCGGATGACATGTGCATTTCAAGCTTTTGCAAGACTCCGCACCTGTGTCTTCAGCTGTAGGGAGCTGAAATTATCGACAAAGTTCCTCGTTTATTGAGCAGTGCTCCTCCCCACCCTGCTATATGGCAGCGAGACATGGGTCACATGCAGGAGGCACCTCAAGGCATTTGAAAACTTTCACCAACGTATTCTATGTTCCATCCTCTGAGTTCGCTGGGAACAAATGCCAGTATTCTCGCTGACACCAACTGTAGGAGCATCAAGGCTACCATTATCCATGAACAACTACACTGGACTGGCTATGTTATCTGCATGGACGATAGTAGACTGCCAAAGCAGCTACTTTACAGTCACCTAACCAATAGTAACTGTAACGCTAGCGACCCCTGAAAAGGTATAAGGATAGTCTTAAAACAAACCTGAAAAAGTGCTAAATCGACCCCCTCACCTGGGAGACGTTACGCTTGAAACAGTACCACACAAGAAGGTGTCATCCCCTTCGAGTTAGCCCGACTGCATACCGAGCTACACAAGCACCAACGTCGGAAAGACGTTGCAGCCACCCCTCCCTCACTAGATGTAGCCCCCCACAAATTCATCATCTGTGAACGACCTTGCCGGTCCCGTATTGGCCTCTTTAGTCACCTCAAAACTTACCAACATAGGTGACATCCATAATAACTCGTATCATTGTAACATAGCTGGATGATCGTCAAAATTTATTCCTAGTGACAGCAAAGTAGTAGTATTAGTAGAGTGTGTGCTGCAAAAGGAAACAAAATGATAACAGATGCGATGAATAAAACTCAAGTGAGAGAGAGAGAGAGAGAGAGATGAAAGTTAGTGAACAGAGGAATTAGACAAAAATATAGGAGAGGAGGGGGAATAGAAACAAAGAATAGATGGAGAAGAGTGAGAGGAACAAGAAAAAAGAATGTGGAGAAGGAGAAGAATAAAGAGAAGAAAACGAAGAGAAAGGACGGATGTGAATAAGAGGAAGAATAAAAATACAAATAGGAAGAAAGTTGGGAAGACGAGGAAGGAGGGAAACAAGAAGAGGAGGAAGAAGAATAGCAAGAGGAGAGAGAAACAGAGGAAGAGGGGGAAGAAGAAGAGTAGAAGGAAGTGCGGAAGGAAAAGAGGAAGAGGAAGAACTGGGGTAGAAAGAAGAAGAGGAAGAAGAGAAAAAGGAAGAAGAAGAGGAAGAGAAGCAGGAAGAACAAGAAGAGGAAGAGAAGGAGATGGGGGAGGAGGAGGAGGTAGAAAAAGCAGGAAGCGATGGAGGGAAGTTATTAGAAGGACTTGTATAATGGGATTAGTTTCTGTCGAGGCTTAGAGTTGACTCTCCTCTCTCCCTCCTTCATCTCTTCCTTCTCTTTTCCTTCTTCTTTTGCTTCTTTTTCACCTTTTCCCCTTCTCCTGTTCTCTCTCTATTCCTCCTTTTTTCTCCTGTTTCTATTACCCCACCTCGTTTTCCTCCTCTTTCAAAGTCCTCCTCTTCTCCTTTTTGTTTACCTTTGCCACCTCCTGTTACCTCCTTTTCTCTCTCCCTCCTCATCTTTCTGCCCACTGCCTCCCCCTATCTTCCTCCCCTTCCTTCCTCCCCTTCTCTCCCCTACTCTCCTTCTTCTTGCATACTGCCTCCCCATCCAAGACAACTCCCCCAACACATACAAACACACCAAGATGCGTCCGCTCTGTTTCCTCATGCTTATCAATGATGCCCTGAGAGAAACTCCCACTCGTTAGATATATGCCGATGACTACAGCGCCCCCAGAATATGTTGAACAGTCTCCAAAATTGGGCCACCAATAACCATGTCACCATCAACCATACCAAGACCATGATTATGCACATCAACCTCTCTTATGACCTTGTCCAATCTCCCTTCAGTACTTTAGGCCCTAACACACTCCAGGTTGTGGACTTCATCAAGCTCCTCGGCGTCACAATATATAACAAACTAAATTGGAAAACACACGTCAGTGCAATTGTCAAATCCTCCAGTTTTCGTCTCCACCTCCTCGGCCGACTCAAGTCCCTCAGAGTTCATGCGCCAGAGCTCCTCAGTGCTTACTTAATATTCATAATTCCGAAACTCACCTATGCCTCCCTTGCCTGGTCTTCCTCCCTAAATGCCACACACCTAGGAAAAGTGAAGAAAAGGGTATGCAGGAATATCCTCTCCCCCTCCTACAATAGATATCAAGAAGCGCTTAACACACTGACCCTCTCGGCTCTCCCTGATCATCACCATGACCTCATTTGCAACTTTGGGGAGAAGCTTCTGCACCATCCTCAACACCGGCTCCTACAACCACCCGAGTTCCCTAGTCCGAGAATTGCTGTTCTACA